AAAAAAAAAAAAAAAAAAAAAAAAAAAACAAAAAACTGGAAAAATTTTTCAAGCTTTGTTGTAGCCAAGAAGACAAAATGATCAAACAAACAAAATTATTTCTGTTGTTGTAGTACAGTTTTTTGGTGTTAGTGATGATGTTTTTTGTGATTGTTGTTGTTGCCAATACCTTAAACCTATAAACTGTGATATAAAAGGGACAAATAAAGTGGAAAAAAAGATGTAGCATAAATTGTCTGATATTGTAGCAATTTAATCAAAAAAAGGCTTTTTTCCTTTCTATTAACTTCATTAATTTTTGTTATAAAATGTGGCATCACTGCTGAGTGTAAGTTTTTTTCATCTGTTTTGGAACTGCTACTCTTGTGCTACAATTGCTGTTTGGTGCTTTTGCTGGGGTTTGATTATGTAAAAAAAAAAAATTACTGCAAAAACTGCAAAAAAGTCTTTTTCACACTTCAAATTTCAAATGCTTTAAAAATTTTGAGAGCAGATAAAGAAGAATAAGAAAAAAAAGACAGACTAGAAAATGAAAAGAGATGATGCGGAAAAAATAAACTGTTGTTTTTGATGCTAAACTATTTTCTTCATCGACTTAAATACTGTTCAAATCAACAATTTGATTTGATTGCTCGCTTGCAATGGACAACGAACCAAAAAAAAAAAGGAAACTATCAGACCTGAAAGCAGCTGAAGATTAACAGCCCTGGTAAAAAAAATTCAGAAGACAAAAACGTTACCTAATTGCAAGTTTTTCCTATAATTGAAATTCAATTTTTTGTTCTTTTTTTTTTTTGAATCAATCAAGAGTACAGCAGTTTTTTTGGTGATTAGACCACTTTTCACAACAGTAAAACAATTTAAAAAAAAAAAAAGATTCTTTTTCCTCTTAACCTAAGACTTCTCCTCCACCCCCTGCTCTCTCTTCTTCCCCTTCCTGGTAGTACAAAATATTAGAATCCTTTTTCCTTTGCTTAGTACACGATAAATGTGTCAAACAAATTTAAAATCCTTTGAGACTGTACTTACTGTGAAATTGTAAAACCTTGCTAAAGTCCAAAGAAAGAAGCAAGGTAATTACATGCATTGAAAAATGTAGAAAATTTATTTCCATTGTCAGCTGTCTTGAAAATATTAATTGAAAACTGCTTGTAAATAACAGCAGCAAAAATAGATTGGGAAAAAAATATAACCAGCAAAAAAAATAGGAACACTTATTTGAGCGTCGTATTATCCAGTACTTTGACGGTGTCCACAGCAATAAGCTGTCGTCTAGTGAAATAAATGTGCAAAAAAAAAAGAAAAAAAAAGTAATGGATAAAAATTGTTTTTTTTTTTTACAATTATTTAACTGGGCAAGCAACTATCTTTGGAACAAAAAAACCTCTATATGTAAACAAAAAAAGAAAACAAAGACAATCTCAGTAACAAAACAGCAACAGCTATAGCACAATCGTCAATTCACAGTTTGGGGCGGTCGTCCAAAACATAACGGTTTCAACAAATATTGCAGAAAGACTAGTTGCAGAATTTTTTTTTGAGAATCTTTTGAAACGAATAATATGAACAAAAAAAAAAAAAAAGATGGACGGTATCAGTGTTTGAACTGTCGGAGATTACATACAGAACGATTAACATTTATTATAAATCAATGAGCGAACTAAAGGTAAGGGAAAAGAGGAAGAGGAGAGGAGCAAATAGAAGAAAGTGGTTGAAAGGATATTCCCCTCCTCATCCCATTCTAAAAAAGCAAAACGACTAAGTTATCTGTTGGAATGGAACAAACGGCTATTCATTGATTAAAGTGAATATTATTTGTTGAGTTTATCTGAATGCAGTTAAATCTTTCACACCTCCTTGTTATCATATGCGAAAAAATCGTTCGACTAAATAATCTTCAAATCCTATCAAACAAAGAAACTACAATTAGATTATCACCCAGATAAAATGATAACAACAACAAGAACAACATCAGGTTGCTACCTATACCATCAATAAAAAAAAAGAATACTGAATAGAAAGACAAAAAATTTGCAAAAATTTTCAAACATTTTTCAGTTGTTTTTTTTTTTCTCAACAGAACAGCATGAACACATTTAGAATCAACGACAGCACAATAAAAAGTACAAGCAAGAGCAGCAAATGCCAAACTGTTTAAGCGTAAAAATTTGCTTCGTACAAGCAAAATTTAACAAAAAATATATAAAATTTGATACAAGTAGCTGTTTGGTTTTAATTATAAACAGTCAAACAATGATAGTTCGGTGATTAAATAAGGTATAAAAGTTTTTATTCGGTATACTATTTGTTATTCAGTAATAATAAATACATGTGAGAAGAAAACATGTTTTTTCATGTCGACGTAAACAAACAACTACAAACTATGCAATAAAACAGGAGAACTGATAGTAGTAATAGCGGTCTCAGATTATATCAATAACAGTAATAATAATAATGGTAATAATAATAATAATAATAATGATATTAATATTATTGATAACAGTAATGATAAAAACTATAATATAACCACAAGAGGAGAAAAGTAGAGAGTTGAACATGGGAAAAGTCAGTTTTTTCAGCTTCTACTGCGTCTTCTCCTTTTGCCGCTCAATCATTTCAATTTTTTTCTTCGCTTTCTTCCTCTTTTTTTATTTTTTATTCTCTTATATTATATTTTTTTGGCAGTCTATTCCCCTCCAAGAAGAAAAAAAGTGGAGGAAAATAGATAGCGAATAAAGAGATTGAAATAGGTCCAGTTGCACAACAGTGCTGCTGTGAAGTAGTGGTAGTTTTGGTGGAGAAAGAAGTGCAGGTTTGAGAGTGATTAAATAGTTCGGGGGCGCATAAATGTTTTGAAAGATAGTCTTGGAACGTATGCTAGCCGTTGCTTAGGCTTCGGTGCTTATAGTTGTTGCCTGTCGGTTGGGATACCCCGATGCTCGGTCTCTGTTCGCTTTTGTTCTCTCTCCCGGCGGCTCTTGTCTCCTTGGCTTGGCTCCCGTTCTCCTTCTACACCCCTCCCCACCATTCCCTTCCTTCTCCCCGTTCCTGTCTACCCTCTTTCCTCGCCTCACGGTTTCCCCTTTCCCCCTGGTTTTCTCCCGGTTCTGCTCATAACTGGTCGTTATACCCAGCTGCTTCTTACACATTATACAAATCAACGTCGCTTCTTCTTCTTCTTCTTCTTTCTCTTCTTCAGCTTTTTCTTATCCCCTTCTTCTTCATCACCATCATCGCCATCACCGTCGTCATCACCATCTTCTTCTTCTTCTTTTGACTTCTTTATTCAACCACTTAGACGATGAAGATAATGTTATTTATGTTTTTCATATTTTTTTTGTCTTTCTGGTTCTGCAAATTAAAGAAGTCTTCAAGGTGCAGTACAACTTGTTTTTTTTTCTTATGTATTCTGTTGCTCAAAAAGCTTTTCTGAAGTTTATGTTTTACTCTTTTTGCGAAAAAATATTTGATTATTGTACTGGTTGTCTATTTACAGCATAATTTTAAAGTTTTGTTTGTCATTTTCTTATCACAGATTCAATTTTTTTGCTGCTTTTTTATGTTTTATCAGTACGTTTGAGTTTGTTTTTTCTTTACACAGGAAAAGTCTCGTAACAAAAATTTTGTTTTTGAATCGTTTGGTGTATTGGGGAGGCTTCCTCGAGAGGCCAGGGCAGTAGGGAACGCTTGAATAGAAATGTACAAATTTTTATTTGTTTTTCTTCTTTACCTGCTTTTGTTGATTATTAAATTCTAAAACTCTTTTTTGTTTACAGTTACCACTATCATTCGCTATTGATGATGATGTTAACGCTAATTCTCGGGTTGTTCGTTGCTCTTTCTGTTGCCGTTCTGATAGTTTTTATTACTGTTTGTTTAGCTTCGGTAAAAATTAGTGTTATAATCTGATTGATAGAACATAGTTTAAATATTAGAGTTAGCTAGATATGTGAATGAATAAAGTGGATGAAGAAATAAGCTTTTTTTTTCATAAAACCTTTCTTGCCTCTTCTCACTATCATAAAGTCTGCAGTTTGAAACTGTCTGGGCAAAAAAAAAAATGCATCGTCAGCAACAAACAAATTTTATATTAAAAAAAGAATTATTTTTGGCATTACATTGAAACGAAGAAAAGAAATACAGTGGAACAAAGATTTCTGTTTGCTATCGTTTTTTTTTTATTGTGACTTATATGCTCCTTTAATTTTGATGACAATTTTGATGGGAGAGGAACAGTGTCGAAACAAAACCGAATCTACTCTCAGTAGCCTTATTAAAATGATAAATTTTTTTTTCTAAATTATGCCAAAAAAAGAAGTTCTAAAAACTTTTGCAAACATGTAAACAAAAATACAAATTATTATCACCTAGCAGATTTCTAATTTTAAGATTAAAAGCTTTTGAGCCAGTTTGGAAAGGATGAGCGGTGTAACAGTGGATGAAGCGGTTAACCACAAAACGTTTACGATACGAGGTTCAATGTTGAATAAGCTTCTTTTTCTTCTGCTTTCCAATTTTTTTCACAGGTAAAGAAAAAAGTAAAAAAATTTAGTGTGGAAGGAGCTTAAACATTGTTTTGTCGGGTGACAAGTAAATAGGTGAAAGTGTTTACAGATCAAAAACCTTGAATAAAACATTAAAGTTTTTGTCATTTTTTATCGTTACTTTACAATGACATCAATTTTTTTAGTCATTTTTTCTTTCATCAGCTTCTCAGCTGTTTTATTACTGCAAGAATTTTATTGACTTGGTAAAGCCGGTCTTTTTTCTCTTTGTTAATTACCGGATGTACTCAGAGACACAAGCAAATACGCATACACGCACAGATTGTACACGGAAGTTACTGCTGCAATCTCTCAATTCCGGTCTATCAGTTGATAGTGATTATAGTATATTGATTGGTAAAGAGGAGAGAAAACGGCCTGAAACTTTTGTGTTACTAATTTTTGACCAAATGTTTACCATTTTATCACTGGTTGTTTCGCCTGGTAAAACGTTACCTGCTGATATGCAACAATGTTTCCAGTAAGGAAAAAGAAGGCAGAGCAGCAGAAAGGAGGGAGAGTTGGTGGAAAAGGTTAGCACCGAAGAAGAAAATGGGAAAAAAGTTAAGCGGCTAAACGTTTAATTGGCAAACGGATACGAGGAATAATAATGACAATTTTAAAACTTTTTTTTTCTCTATTAAAGTTTATTTAAATTAATTTCTTTGTCAACTTTTTTCATCTTGGCTGTATCTGCTTTCATATATTAGGGCAATTTAAAAGTTGCTTTTCTTCGCATAAAATTTAGC